ACGTAGTTAGTAAAACAGCATTCTACCGGAAACTTTAATACTTGTCTTGAATATTGGAAACAATGTGAGTTAGTATCAAAGTAACCTTTCAAATCACAACAGTCTTGCACTATGAGGGCTGTGTTGGAGGGTCCATCTGGTTGCAATACGTTATTCGGGAATCCCAGCAAAGCCAACCTGCTGGAGGAGATTGAGCACTCCTGGTGTGACCCTGTACGGAAGCTCAAACTGCAGTAGATTTCTCACTGTTAAATTCTGTGCACACATATATACATGTGTGTGTATGGTTTTTAGTTAACCGTACTTTGGTCCTTTGGTAATTGGCTCAAATCTTGAAGCTTTTAAGCATCATATCACAGAAAGATGATTTTTAGACTTAGGGACTGATTTTTGTTGGAAGGGACCCCAAATAGCACCTGCTCCCATCTCCTGCTCAGAGCAGGGCCAGCCTACATCCCCTTGCTCAAAGCATCGTCCAGGTGCCTTTTCAGGGTCTATGAGACTGAAGTCGCTGCACCCTCTCTGGGTGACTTCTTGCAGAGTTTGATTGCTCTCACGGGAATTGTTTTACTTCTATCATGCTGGAATTTCCCTGGCTGCAACTTGTGGCTGGTTCCCCGTGCCCGTTGCCTGTGCACCTGCGAGAAGGGTCCGATTCTGGCCTTGCAGAAACTTCCCATGTACGTGAGCAGGTTTGCATGTGTGATGTGCGAATGCGATCTTATCCTCACTAGCCTTTCCTCCTTTTGGTTTTCTTCTGTTTGGCTAGCTCAGCTGTTGCTTTGCCTGGGTCCGATGACGGAAATGTGTAGGAGGTTTATGAAGTAAAAGGTTTTATCACATGTTTTGTCTTTGACCTGTTTTTGAAAAAGTTTTGAGACACACTGGAAATACAGGTGAAAGTCCCAATTCTCTCCTCAGAAGAGCAGTGCTATTGTAGTACAGCTGCGGAGGACATCAAACATGTTGAATATTCTATAGCTTATTTTCCTTTCTTTGAACTTCAAATCAATCAGCTAGATAAATCTTCTTAGATCTTTATTTGGATCAGAAAGATTCTTATTGTGAACTGCCAGAATGTGTGCCTTAGAAATGCAATAATACGTGATACATAGAAACATTTCAAACATTTGAGTTGGGCCAGTTTTGAGCTGCTACAAGAGCAGCCATCCAGAAACTTGGAGTTCTTAAATGCATGTTGAAGTTACTTCACATCAGCAAAATATTTCCTGTGGGACCTTTTGTGGGAGGGTGAAGGAAGGAGAGGAGCAAAGGCTGAATTCCAAGTACAGGTCCAAGTGTTGCTTTTCATATTGACACTTTGGAGAAGTTTTACTTTATTTCTTGTCTCTGTTCTTGTATATGGCCTTTATTCTTCCCTATGAGTCTTCAGTTTTCTGGAATACTGATTGCAAAACTCCTGTGTTAAAGTAACTGTTAGAAACCCTTCCACCATACTCTGGCATTAATTATTCCTAGAATTTCAATGGAATGGGAAGACAATTTAATGAACTTGAATTTTGCATTCGCGATACTCTGCCCGATATGCTTATCTATTATCTGTCCATCTGGCAGCTCACATGCTTGTTGGCAGAACTGCTTTTATTTCCTTTCCTGAAGAAATTCTGGCACTGAATGTATAAACAAGCAGCACTTCTTTCTTCATTTATAATTCAGTATGAAATTCTGAACATTATTAGTTAATTAATATTAAATATGGTGAATTCTTGCTAGCGCGGGTGTAAGGCTCTGAATTGGAGCATATGGAGTGGTCCCACCTCCTCGCAGTGAGGAGCTGGCAGATTGAGACCCATCTGTCAGCTGACACACGCACCAGCGCGCGTCTCTGAGTTTACGCTGAGGCGATGCGCGCTGCCAAGAGAAACTGTGAGGGGGGCTGAGCGCGTCTACAATCGTGGCACGTTGCTGGGGGGTGGGTGGGGTGGTGAGTGGAAGAATTGCTTTCGCCCACCCTGATTTGATAGATGCTTCACAAATGTACAGAATCTTTATTTGAAAAAATGTGCTGGTTTTTGGTTGCAAAATTAATTTATTAATAGTAAACGTGCTACGGACCCTCAGCTTACCAGCATGATTATCTACTGCCTGTTGGGATTTTGATCCGTTTACTTACTGGGGAGGCCCCAGCTGTCTACAGCCATACAGCGAAGGCTCTCCCCTGCTGTGGGAGAAGTTAAATGGCTCTCAACTCGAACCGCTCCGACATGATAGTATATTGTGCTGGGTAGGCAGCGTAACCCAGATACTGCATCAGGGGTATGTAGGAAAATACCCGGCGATATCTGCGTGTGTCAGAAATGCCTGATGTTCACATAGAGCTGCAAGAAACTAGGCTGAGAAAACAACCCTGTTTCACGTGGACCTACTGGGCTTACAAGTGTACAGGTGCATATGTTCAGGTAGCAACGCCTAAAGCATTTATTTAAACAAATTGTCTCATTTCATTTGGGAGGGGAGAAGTTTGTGGTGTGATCAGCCATTTAATAAGTTCCCAAAAGACAGCCGTAGAGGTTTTCAAAGTTAATTCTCCTGTTTAATATTATCTCAAATGAAATGTTACATTTTCAGAATGGGCAGAGAAACATGGACCTTCTAAAGTTGTCTTCTCAGTATGGATAAAATTTGACATGGTGTTAGTTGAATTGGTTTTGAATATCCTCTTCCAAAACAATTTTTTGTGGCTACTTTAGAGGAAGAAATGAGTCCACAGGCATGTACATCTTCTTCATGGT